GCGGGCGCCCAGCGGCCATGGGGCTGGCACTTGGCTTCACGGCTGCCCCGCAGCAGGTAGCCCGGGTGGCACTGGAAGGTGACGTTGGCCCCGGGACGGTACAGAGCGCTCCGTCCTTCAGCCACGTCCCCGTGCGGGAGGTCGGGGCTTGGGCAGGTGATCGCTGGAAGTGAAAAGCAGCAGAGCATGGGCTGGGGAAGGGGCTGCCCGAGCTGGGGCTTCCCGCTCTGTTTTCCCGAGGTCAGACTCGGGGGAAGGCTGCGCGGCCACGATGGTCTCCCTTCTCCCTCCGGCACCGGCATTCTCGGCTCACCTTCACAGCGGGGGTAAGGGATGCTCCAGGTCCCGTTGACCGTACAGTACAGCGTTGTTTTTCCCACGAGAGCGTAGCTGGGGTCACAGCTATAATTCACGGACTTGCCAGGGCTGAAGCCTGTCGCATCCCTGCCATCGTGCTGGCCGTGCTCAATCGCCGGCGGGGTGGGACACAGCCGCCCTGCAGGGAAGGAAACCTTTGCTGAGAAAAGTCATAACTAGTGAAGAGCAGGCCCCACAATCTGTAGGGTAAGGCAGCCTGTTCACTTCTTTCTTTCCCATTAATTTTTCCAAAATAGCTAGGGATGTCAGTGTATGAATTATGTTTACATCCTACCCTCCCCTCTCTTCCAATCCTTCACGGGTTTTGAGCTTATTGACATCAGAATGACCTTTTCTCACTGTTTAGGCATTTACAGTGGATAGTTTCCATCCATGGCCCTAACAGCTTGCTCCGGCCATTCCGTGGTTGTGACCAAGATCAGACACCAGCCTGGCTCTCTCTCTTTGTGGGTCCGTTTGAGGAGATGAAAGCCCTCCTTAACAAGGGTCTGAATGGGGATTATGAAGATGGGAGGACAGATATTTGCTTGTTTTTCCTTTCCAGCCCTGGAGAGTGGCCCCTTTACCTCCAAGGTGTGGCGGTTGCACCCTGCCAGGGGCACTCACACAGCACACCAGAAGAAACCAGCTACCACCCACCGCCTCGTTTGCGCTTACGCTTTTCACAGATGGGGACAGGAGGGTCCCACCTGCCCCCAAACTGGCACTGAGACTCTTGAGAGCCCTTCAAGGCATAACCAAAATCACATTCGAAGACAATGATGTCCATGAGTCTGTACGTGGTCTCCAGCCCAGTCATTCTTCCATTCTTGATCTCTGGTCTTTGGCAGCCGGTTGCTGGAAGCGAAGAGCACAAGGCACCACTGGGGAGGTGAAGCCCATCC